GAAGCAGAGGAAAAGGGGTTTAATAGTTCACACCAATGATCAGTTTCAAACCCCACCCCCACCCCTAACCTGGTATCATCTGATGCAGGGGTGTCAAACTGCCGGAAGCTGTGCCCGCCCTATGCAATGGCAAAATTTCCCCGATACGTTGCGCAACATCATGTGATGTCGCGAGTTTGACATGTCTGAATTGTGTTCACTAGCATTCTAACCAACCCCAATGATAAAAATTGAATACATGGAAAATATTCAGGTTGGGAAAGACTGTTTTAGGAACTGAAGGAGTAGGTCTCGCTATAGTTCCAAATATTGATATAATAGATTGGAAACCATACTGTCCCACTACTGTACTACATTTGCTGTTCAGAACTTTTCCATACTCTGGATTTTATGTATGAAAGAGCTCTTGTTTACAGACATTGCATGATTATTTACTATGGATGCTGAGATAGGTGATCCCATAAAGTATGGTTGTACAACCTTTTGGCTTGCTTGGGCTGCATTGAGAGAAGAGGAGCTGTCTTGGGCACATATAAAATATATAATATTAATGTATATAGATAACAAACTTCCTTTATTTTATAAATACTTTTTATTATCTTGTGAGGCCGGCATTACTAGCTATCTGGGGCCGTATGTGGTTCATGGGCCATAGGTTGGGCATACCTGCCACAAAGGTTCCCCAAAAAGCAAACAAAGATCCAAGAAGAAAACCTGGCCCAAAGCACTTTGTTCCTTATCACACATTCAGCAATAAGATAAGTAAAAACCATTTACATGTGCAGGATACTGTAAGTTATATAAGCTAAGATGAAAAAATATAACCACTGAAGCCACTGATTACATATTACAACAACTCTGGTAAAACTAGCTGCCACACATAAGAAGCCAGTAAACTTCATTCCCTTTTATCAAAGCACTGATGATGTTACCTAGTTTGGTAATGGAATATATGCAAGAAAAAAAGATTGCCGAGTAATTTATCTAGTTCTAAAAAATTTTGTCCTTTCATTTTTCAAGTACATTTCTAGTCTTGAATACAGAAAATTAGAACAGAATGTACTGGTCATCTATTTTAATAAAATGTTCTCCCTCTTCCCCACCATTACTGTTCTGGTTCAACAGAATAGAGAAAGAGGAAAAAACAATTAGTCTGATTGACAAAATAAGGAAAACTATAAAGGGGCTCTTTATCCATGCACACTCACAGAATTTTTCTTCTCTGTTCATTACACCAGAAGTTTCCAACTCCTTGCTAATATTTTTGAAAGTCTGGAGAAATAGTAATATTAGCTCTCTCTCTCTCTCTCTCTCTCTCTCTCTCTCTCTCTCTCTCTCTCTCTCTCTCTTTCACACAGACACACCAATCATCAGTCAACAAAGCTAACTGGAATGAAAGCTAGAATAGATAAAATATTGTTTTATACAGTGAGTAATTAATTTGTGGAACTACAATATGGTGATGGGCACTAGCTTAAATAGCAATAAATATATTTATGGAGTTCATGTCTATCAGGACTAATGGCTTTGAAGCCTCAATGTTTTATCCTGAGGTTGTGGGAAGTATATCTCCAAATGCCAGTTGAAACTATATAAAAGGGGTATGTCTTCATCTCCTGTTAGCAAGTACCTCAGAGGCATCTGGTTGAGCATTGTGAGAAAATGCTGAGCTAAGATAAGTCTTGTTTTGATCCAACAGGGCTGTTCTTATGTTCTCATGAAATCTGAAGTTGAAGAACACAGAACATTAAAGAGTTAAAAATAAATTATTTGGGATTATAAAATGATAGAGGCAAAGCTTAATTTGGACTAAGCTATGAAATTTATTGTAATTTCAGGATACATTGCTGCCACATTTCTAAAGAAGGAAAAGCAGAATATGCCAAGTACTTCCTCCTCCCATCATTCCTTTCCATCTGTCACTAAGACAACTGCTCAAAGCTCTATTGCTACAGGTATGAACTTGGTAATTCATACATGTGGTTGAGCAACATTCTAACATATATGATTATAAGGAGACCTGTCATCACGGTATCAAGGATTGGACAGTGGTTTTAAAATGAAATAGGGCAAGCTTTCTTTGCTTTAGCATAGAATGGATGGCACATTCCTCTGAAGATTTGGCATATCTGTCTCCTGTACATATAGTATAAAACATGCATTGGCTTCAAAGACGTGGGATTCATTTCAACATATTGACCCTAAAGAAATAAAGGATATTCCACCACTTGGCGCACATCCCTTTTATGGCTCCTTGAGACATTTGGGAGAGGGGCTGGGAGTAGCTTTTTAAGAGATTGGATTATATTGGAAGCTCTGGAGAAGGAATGTCAGACAGACCTTCCAGATTTCCATTATGTTAGATAATTACCATACTGTCTCCTAGGGAAGGTTGGAGACAGTGTGGTAATTGTCTAATATAATGGAAACCAGTGTATAATCTAGTGTTCTAGAGAAGGTTATTGAAAAGGAAGTAGAGCTTCAGGTGCAGAATGACCTAGAACTAACAGGTTAGCCTGACCTTTCAGGCAAGGTTTATGCCTGAAAAAGGAATGGAAATGGCATTGGTTGCTCTAACAGATGTCCTTAATAAGGACTTAGGTAAGGAAAAGTCTTGTTTGACCTCATAGCAGCATTCATTACCACTAATCATGGTATTTTTCTGGACTGTCTATGAAGATTAAGGGCAGGCACAATCATTTTGCAGTGATTCTTTTTTTCCTGGTAGGATGATCCAGGGTGGTGATGGGAATGACAGATGAATCTGATGGGCTCTCTTTTGTCAGGTGATATAGAGCAATAGTAATAGCACTTAGACTTATGTACCACTTCACAGTGCTTTATAGCACTCTCTAAGTCAGGGGTGTCAAACTCAATTTCATTGAGGGCCGCATCAGCATTGTGGTTACCATTGGGGGGCCGGGTAGGTATGGCTGGCATGGGCATGGCCTACTGGGTGGGTGTGGCCAGCTCCATGTCACTCATGTCAGGGGCACCTGTGCGGGCCTGGGCAGGAATGAGGCGCATCCGAGAGTGGGGAAGGGTGGGTGAGATGGGGCGAGCGCCAGGGCATGGTCCACTGGAGGAGCCTCACTGAGCCTCAGGCTGTGCATGGAGGCCCTGGACAGTGGCATGGACTGGCCAGACCCCTGGGCAGCAGAGGTCAAGTGCCCAGCCCGGCCCTTGAGCTCCCACAGCATCAGGACCCTACAGCCTTGTCTAGCCTAGCTGCACTTCCCCGAGGGGGCGCCCAGCTGCACTTACCTCCTCCTCAATGCTGCTGCTGCTATGCTCACTCTCCTTGGCCAGGTTTCTCATGGTGGGTGCAGGAGGACAAAGTGCATGTGTCAGAGGGAGGCCTCTCCATGCGAGGAAACCTGGCTTTGTAACCAAAGCATCCTCAGCAATAGGATGGGAGACCACAGGAAATGGCAAAAGGGCACCAGGGCTGCTGGTGGCCAAGTACTAAAGCAGGACTTCCTTCCTTCCTTCCTTCCTTCCTTCCTTCCTTCCTTCCTTCCTTCCTTCCTTCCTCCCTCCCTCCCTCCCTCCTTCTCCTCTTTCTTTCTTTCTTTCTTTCTTTCTTTCTTTCTTTCTTTCCTTCCTTCCTTCCTTCTCTTTCCTTCCTTCCTACCTCCCCTTCTTCCCTGCCTCCCTCTTTTTCATTCCCATCTCCTTCTTTCCTTCCCTTACTTTTTTCCTGTTTCCCTGCCCTCCTTTCTTCCCTCCTTCTCTCTGTGCCCAGGAAGGGACGAGGAGAGGGGAAGAGGTTGGCAGCATTTCTCTCAAAGAATAAGAGTTGGAAGAGACCTTTGAGGTCTTTAGTCCAAGCTTCTGTTCAAGCAGGGGACATATACCATTCCAGACAATGGAATATCCAATCTCTACTAAAAGCCTCCAGTGATGGAGCATCCACAACTTCTGAAGGCAAGCCTTTTCACTGGTTAGTTGTTTTCACAAGTCCTTAGTTCTAGACTGGTTTTCTTCTTGATTAGTTTCCATTTATTATTTGCCTTCTGATGCTTTGGAAAATAGGTTGACCCCTTCTTCTCTGTGGCAGCGCCATCAAATATTGGAACACTGCTATCATGTCACCACCCCTAGTCTTTTTCACTAAGCTAGACATACGCAATTCCCACAAACATTTGCCATATGTTTTAGCCTCCAGCCCCCTAATCATCTATGTTTACCATCCATTTAGAGCAGATGGTCCCCCTGGTTTGGTTTACAGAACAGTGGCCACAAGCAGAGCCTTCTCAGAGACAGCACCCCCATTATAGAACTTTCTCCCAAGGAAAATATGAACAGTGCAGCTGTTTAATATGCAACTCCAAACACACTGTTCAGCCAGGCATATGTAAAACAACAACACATTTAATGGTCAAACAGCACTAAGTAAATTACTACTACTATTTTTCTTTCTTAAAATACACACTTTTAATATTGTTTTAAGCAGTGCTAGTGATGCTTTACAATAGCTGTCTTTGAGAGTTTTCTTGTAAACCACCCTAGATTTCTCAGAAACTTTTAATTTCAAATTAGATGTTGATTTAATAAATTAGGCAGAAGAAACAAATGTATGTGTATGAGAAACAGAGAGAGGGAGAGGGAGGGAGGGAGGGAGGGAGGGAGAGAGAGAGAGAGAGAGAGAGAGAGATCCCCTTTTTGTAAGTTTGCTTACTCTGCAACTCCCTGCTGGCTCAATCTCTCTCTGTCTCTCTCTCTCTCTCACACACACACACACACATCCAAACACCACACACACACAGGTTAATAAAAAAGAGGAGGGGGGAGAAAGGTGGAAGCTCTCCTTTTTTTGTAAAATCTCAGCTTCCTCCTCCCCTCCTGGCTCTCTCTCTCTCCCTCTCCCTCTGTCTCTCTCTCTCTCTCTCTCTCACACACACACACACACACACACAAATAAAAGAGGGGGAGAAAGTGGAAGCTCTCCTTTTTTGTAAAACCTCAGCTTCCTCCTCCCCTCCTGGTTCTCTCTCTGTCTCTCTTACACACACACACACACACACACACACACACCCTTCCTGTTTTCTCCTCCTCATCCTTTTCCTCAGCTGCATCTGAACGGAGTGAGAGGAAGTTATTAAAAAAAAGAGAAGGGGTGGAAGAATGGGGGAAGCTCTCCTTTTTTGTAACACCTCTGCTTCCTCAGCTGCCTCCTCTTCTACTCCTGACCCGGGCCTGACGGGGTTAAGCTGGGAGGGGAGGGATGGGCTAAAGCAAATGAGCTGCTGCTGTTTCCTGCACATGCTCCAAGGCACCCAGCTGGGTTGCGGTAGGCCAGGGCTGGGGCAGAGGGGGGGGCGGTCCCTTGCCATTTCTGGGACAGCACCAAGGGGCCAAATCTGGGCCCTCCCTGGGCTGCATCTGCCCTGCAGGTCTTGTGTTTGACATGTCTGCTCTAAGTGGTTTACAGAGTCAGCATATTGTCCCCAACAATCTGGGTCCTCATTTTACCGACCTTGGAAGGATGGAAGGTTGAGTCAACTTTGAACTGGTGAGGATCGAACTTCTGGCAATGAGCTGAATTAGCCTGCAATACTGCATTCTAACCACTGCCCTGTCATGGTTCCTATATCATTCAATTCTATAATTATTTTGCAACATGAAACTTCTGGGAAGGATGTTCATAGACCATCACCACCACCACCAAATTCACGATTTGAGTCAGTAGATGTCTGGAACAATCTTTGTCTGTAGTAACTCCCACTTTATGGAACAGTCAGCAATCAGAAGACACAATAGCAATTCTTCTGGTATCTTTTTCAAAAGGTGTAAGAAAAGGTTTTTTTTTTTCTATTGGCACTTGAGGGTTGTCACTACTATTGAGCTTAATTAGCACCTATTTTTATTAGCAGTTCTTATTTATGAAAGATGTAATGTAATGTAATATCTGTAATTTCAGATATTACCAGATAGTTCTGTAAAGTCATAAAACCAATTTAACTCCGAAAGATAAAAAACTGGTTAGAAATATGTATATATAGTTTGGACCTAGGAATGAATGTATAATGTATCACCTCTAACTGATTCTGGTGTCCTAAAAGTCTAAGGTCAGTTCAATTTACAGCAGCAATTGAAGGGCTGAGAAGACAGCACAGTGGCCAAACAGTCTACTATGAAGCACAACTTTGGGACATGCTCCAGTGTGGCACTCCTATTTTCACTAAAGAGACCATTGTGATAAAACAAGTCATCAACATAATTCTGAGGTTCCAGTGTAAAAGCAGCAGAACAGAATCATAATGATAATGAAGGTTGATGCACCCAGCCACTATTTTTGCTGCATTCTTAAAGAATGGGTAGCTACTGTTTGGCTGTCTCAGCATGGAAGATTTTAATAATGTCAGGTGTTAAAAGGAGAAAGATAAAGCTTTCTTTCAAATAAAATGCTTATATTTAGCAAAGTATGCCTGATAACAATAAAACTCAGAGATACAAAAGAAGAATAAAATTTGCAGGCTATGTTCCTATTCCTCTTTATATTTATATTTTCAATCTTACTACTTTACAAATATAAATCCTGAACAATTATTAAATTGGGAGAGAAACACTAAGGCGGAAAATTAAAATTGTATTCCTGCACCTGATATATATATGTATGTATGTATGTATGTATGTATGTATGTATGTATGTATGTATATATGTATATCCAAGAACGTTTGAAATCTGTAACCATTTTCAACAACATGGGCAATTCTTATACCAGCAGTACAACTCAATTTTGAACACCTAGAAATAGGATTGGGCAGCACTTTAAATAAAATTCTTAACAGATGTTCTGGTATACTTAGGAATGCAATGCTCTTTAAAGCAGCCATATCTTTTACTGAGCTTCCATGGCTGTCTTCTGAAACTGCCATGTGAGTACAGAAAAAAATATGGTTGTTTTAAAATTGCAGAGCAATGCTTCATCTCCAAAACACATTTTTGGAATAAAATATGAAGCACTGCATAGCCATAATTGAATTTTAGTTTCTTCATGAATTAAATGTTCAGAGTACTTCTCTTCTAATCCAAGAAATCAGGCGAGTTTTTAAGGTATCCATTCTTCCAGTAAAATGCTATCCTCTTCAACAACCTGTATATGTGACAAGGGGTAAAATTATGTTCATACTCCCAAGCTTTTATTTTTTTTAGTTATGCTTGTTTTTTTTAATTTTTTTAAATTTATTTGTATGGTGATTCTGTTTTATTGTTCTTCTAGCTATCAAAATACTAATGAAGAGCTAAAAAAACAATTTAAGATTTTTTTTAAAAAAACTAGTCATGTATAGTCCACTTTTTTCAGAAATGAAAACAATTGGTAAACAACTACTGCAACCAAGGAAACCATGCATGCATAACACCCCAAATCCAATGTAATTTTAAATCATATTTCCATAATCTTTAACACAAATCAACAGATTCAGATAATAGTTCTAAGAGGGAAAGAAATAAGATGAAAGCAGTAGTATATATTCTAAGAGTAGACAAAATGGTTGATTCATAAAAGCAGTCATGACGATTAAGACAATAGTTTTACATCTGCTGAAATGTGCATTCACTTCTATCCCTAGATTTGGTTTTGGGTCATTACTGTGTTATTGAAACTAAAAATGAGGAAAAACCATAAAAAATTAAGTTATTCTTCCATAGTAGTTTCCTCTTTTCTATAGTGCAGAGATTTCATACCATGCTATTGGCTTAAATGCAACAGAGATAGCACAGAGACAGAGGGAGAAAGTTGCTATCTTGAAAGTCATTATGACATCCATTCTCACCTGGTTTCTGAATCTGTAAAAACAGTGGAAGCTGCTGGAAATATTCTGATCCACTGTCAGGAAAGTAAGCATGATGTTTAGCACTATAAACAGATCACTCAAAACTGACAGACACATACATATAGCATATTTTCAGAGCTGGAGTCTCCCTCTTTCTCATGCTACCAAGCTGATGATTTGCCTGCCTGTAATTCTCTCTCCTGTATATTTTTTTTTAAATGAGAATATTTCTGATTCTTTCCTTTACTTTGAAATTACAATGAACAAAAGTAAAGGGAGATAGGAGGGATGGAAGTATTTAACATTTAGAGAATGTTTGTGATTAAGGAGGTGAAGTAGAAATGAAAAAGACAGCAAGAATATATCTAGAATTTAAAAAATAATAATAGGCAAATAAGGCACAGCAAAAATATTTGTTATTGATAACAGTCCAGAAGTTAGGGAGAGGGTTTATTCCATGCTCACTTGGGAGAACAGCAATAAATGGAGTTAACAACTATGAAAAAAGCAAAGCAGAATTTTTTCTTTCAGTCTTTCTAGTTTCTAGATTTTACATCCTCGGTTGTTATATTACCAAGTTTTATCTATTAATCACAAGCAGTTCATATATGTTTATTCAAAAATATTTCTCACTGAGTTAAATGTATAGACTGCAACGCTGATATTTACCTGATACAAGGCTCATATGATTCAATGTGATTTACTTCTAAATACAGAAGCACAGGAATGCATTGAAACTAGAAATGAAGAAAAGGTGTTCAGTGAAACTTATAATCTTTTAGGGACTGGTCCCCAGGAAACCTCTAAGCCCCTGTAAAAGAACTTACTTTTTTGAAATATAAAATGAATTTGAAAGGTTGAATATAAGGGCAGTGGCTATTTGTAATCCTCAAACAATAACTTTTCCTTTCCAATCCAGAATTACCAACATCATGGCACAATTCTTTATGACAATTTGACAATGACTAAAATCCTATAGTCTATTGAACTTTGCTATTGCTATCAGGTTGCAACTATGCATTACCTTGGAGTTCCACACATATCAGCAGAATTTATTTCTTTAAAAAGCAGCTCATCCATCCCTATATACAGTTTTGAAGACTCATATAAGGAACTCCCCAATGAATGTTCAAAATTTTATATCGGTGTGCAGAATAACTAAATTCTAACAAAACATAGCACTAACCCAGGATGTAAATCTTTCAGAGCTGTTTTTCTTTTTCTTTTAAAAAATATACTTCTTGTTTCACTAGCTTGGTTATTAAGATTTTAACATCATTCACCATATAGATACAATGGGTATTACTATGTGCTTCGGCATCCATAGTGAATGTATGTTGTTGTTGTTAATTGCGAAGTCGTGTTCAACCCATCGCGACCCCATGGACAACATTCCTCCAGGTCTTTCTGTCCTTTACCATCTTCTGGAGTCCATTTAAGTTCACGCCTACTGCTTCAGTGACTCCATCCAGCCACCTCATTTTCTGTCATCCCATTCTTCTATTGCCTCAATCTTTCCCAGCATTAGGCTCTTCTCCAGTGAGTCCTTCTTTCTCATTAGGTGACCAAAGTATTTGAGTTTCAACTTCAGGATCTGGCCTTCTAAAGAGCAGTCGGGGTTGATCTCTTCTAGGATTGATCGGTTTGAACGGCTTGCAGTCCAAGGGACTTGCAGGAGTCTTCTCCAGCACCATAGTTCAAAGGCCTCAATTCTTTGACACTCAGCCTTTCTTATGGTCCAACTTTCACATCCATACATTGCAACTGGGAAAACCATGGCCTTGACTATACACACTTTTGTTGGCAGGGTGATGTCTCTGCTTTTTAGTATGCTGTCTAGATTTGCCATAGCTTTCCTCCCCAGGAGCAAGCATCTTTTAATTTCTTGGCTGCAGTTCCCATCTGAGGTGATCTTGGAGCCCAGGAAAATAAAATCTGTCACTACCTCCATTTCTTCCCCATCTATTTGCCAGGAATTGAGAGAGCCGGATGCCATGATTTTGGTTTCAAGCCAACATTTGCACTCCTTCTTCACCCGCATCAAGAGGCTCTTTAGTTCCTCTTCACTTTCTGCCATTGGAGTGGTATTATCTGCATATCTTAGGTTGTTGATATTTCTCCCGGCAATCTTAATTCCAACTTTTGATTCATCTAGCCCTGCCTTTCTCATGATGTGCTCTGCATATAAGTTAAATGAATGTATAGTACCGGTATATGTCAAGCTCAATACAGTGCCATCATGATTAAAGCTCTTCCGTATCATGACATCATACAAAGGGTGGAGCTTTGTCACAATAGAACATTACTTTCATTTTCATAAAAGAATTGGACACTGTAATTTCCCTTTTTTTCTTCTTCTCCACTTTCTGCTTTTTATGGAATAGATAATTCATTTTTTTTCTTCAAGTTCTGTAGCACTTGTCCAATGCCTACTTAATGTAACAAATTGTATTTGTGACATGGGCAGATTTAAGAAAATGCTTTCTGGAAGCAATGTTAGTGGTTACAATAAATATATATAATATTAATCTCAGTTAGCTATGAGCTCTTTTGATGGTTTTAGACAGATTGCTGTATTTCACCCAGAACCATCTATGCAGGCATTCCTATTCACCCACCTTATAAGCCTCTTGTACAGATTTATAAATATATTTGAAGCACCTTAAGCAAACAGGATATACTTTGTATAAACACTGAATATTGTTACTGTAATACATAAATATTACATGTCTTAGTAAGTAATGTAAATGCATTTTAAATGCCATAGTGATTACAAGTGTAAAACAGCAAGAACTATTCCTATAACATCACAATATCCATGTCTGTCCAAGCCAAATTATTACTATTACTATTACTACTATTTTGTTGTTGTTGTTATTCAAACATAGTTTCTGCAATTTCAGTTTCAATGTACATTACAAGAGATAGCAAGGTTTTAAGTCATTATAGAAATATAAGATACTTATAAAAGAGATAATGTTAGTGATATGAAAGGCCTGTGAAATAAATGAACTATCTTATCTCTCTTTGGAAGACAAATAAGAAGACAACAAAGGTCTTGTTTACCTATATAAATACTAGTAAAATTTCAGAATCACTCTTCCATTCTAAACATAAATCTCTGACTATGTCTAAGAGAAAAAGAAGGCATCTTGTTTAACCATCCAATGCTTGTTTAACCATCCAATGCTCATTGTTATTCCGATTACTTACAGAGAAACAGGAATGAAAAAGAACAGGAACGGGAGGAATGTCTGATCAGTTGCCTGGACAGGAATCACTTAGGCCTCATTTCACAGAGAAAAGGCTGATGTTTAAAGAAAGAGTTTCAATTTTCCTGGCTGTCTACATACTCATTTCAGCCAAGGAAGCAACAGCACCTGTTTCAAGTGCCTAGTTACAGATAGTGCCAGGCAGTTGTGAAACAAATATTCTGAATTCGGCCCAGATTCTGTAGTCTCTGTGTAATGTACAATTCAATCTATTTATGGACTGTATTTAGACTTGAACCAGACTGAAGCAGACAATACAAAGCCCCAGTGTATCAAGCTTTTGTTTATATCTTAAACAGTTCTGTGTCCCATTGCTATAAAATTCATTTACATTAAAAAACTCAATTCATCCCACTGGGGACTGACCATAAGCATATATGGACTAAAAAAGGGCAAGAAACAATAAACTTCCCTGTCTGTGATCCCCTGAAATCAGAGTTCAGACAGGCAGTGAGTGTCATACCTGTATTTATGGATAAAGAACTCCAAGATCGAGAGCTGTCATATCTGCATCCTTCCACTGCATGTAGAAAGAGGGGAGGAGGAAACGAGAGAGGAGGAGCAACTAGCTTTAACTGGATCATACCGGTAGCAGCTCCATCACAATTCAATCTGTCAAGGGCTGTATAAGAAATATGTTTCTTCAAGATTTAGACAAAAAGGGGGGGAGGGAGCATTCTCTCTCAAAAATGCAATCATTTCCATACTAAGCAGCTTGGGCTAAAGCAAACTTGCATGCATATAAAATCAGGCACTTATATGCATCAAAAAAAAAGAGAGGGGATTTAAGAAAGACAAAGATTTAGTATGAAAGAGTTCAGATGGGCTGGAAGTAAAATTATTGGGATCATAGAAAATAAGCAAAAGAAAAAAGGTATGAGAAGAATTATTCCTTTCTGGTTACCCTGAAAACCCATATAATGAAAGAGCTGCAAGGATAATTACTCTCACTTGTTTGGCATGGCAGGGCATCATGCTGCCACGGGGCCAATTTCCTCTCTTCTTCTCCCAATTAGCATGCCAAGTAGTCCAAACAGCTCATTGGGTACTGATTGGAGAAGCAGACCAGCAGCCAAATACCTCTTCATCCAATGAGAAGGCAGCATGTGTTTGCTAGAAAGCTTCAGCTTCCTTCATTTTGTGTCCTTCTCCGCTATCATTCTCTCTCTTCTCCTCAGGAGACACTAAAGGAGGTGATAAAAACAGTGAACCCATCCTTCCCCTCCCCAGCTGGTCTCATTCACAGCTCACAGTAGTCCTGACTTCCTCAAGGGACCTACTAATGAAGACAGCCGATGGCGGACATTAATCTCCCCCCCACCCCACCCCTGTCGATTTATACTTCCACAGAGAATTCTGGCTCCCAGCCAGAGGGCTCAGCACATTCTTCTTGTTTTTAGACAGTAAGAGAGATTGCCGCACTCTCACACATACCCATTTCTTTTAAATACACATCCAGACAGTCAATTTAGGAAGACAGCAGCTTGAAGGAAACATTAGAAAGCCAAAGAGATGTTGAATAACACCTTTACATTCCTAAACAATCCTTTTATTCCAAAGCATTTTGCAGGCACAGCTTTCCAACTATAGTTCTCTTTTTAGCTATCTATATTATAGCTACAACGCAAGGAAAATTATACACTATTTTCCAACTGTAGTTCTCTTTTTCAGCTATCTATATTATAGCTACAATGCAGAGAAGATTATAAACTATCAAATGGAATTTGGGGCATTAAAATAGAACTTCACCAGGAAATCAGATTTTAAAATACATTTTGCTTTCAGACTGAACTCAAGATCCCTCATTCTGATTAGTTACGTTTTTCAAATTCAAATATGTTACATACAAGACATCAAGAGGACTGGATTTTTTTCCACATTTTCAATTCACAAACTAGAGATAATTAGTGATTGTTAAGAACAAAATTAGTTTGAATACATATTCCAGAACGAACCTTTTTGGTAGGGGCAATCAGTTTTTCAACCTTGTTAGATATTATGAGAAGAACTTCAAAGCAGTCACAAAACAAGATTTCCAAGACAAAAGGCCAGAGTGCTTTCAGCACACTGAAAAACTATTTTAATGCTACAATCCTTCTCACAAATCAAAACAAATCAAGTTTTGTGTGTTAACAATGCTTTCTTAAGCAAAAACTAAAAACATCTATATGATTCTAAATATATTTACTCTGAATTTCAGCTTTACCAAATTCAATTATGAAAGCACAGAAACAAAGGCTTTTTAAAAGGTTTGCATTTAAAATATTCACAGTGCATGCATGTCCCTTTGAGTCAGTTGTGGGAAAGTCTGCAATTTTTTTAAAAAAAGTAATTAAAATTATCATAATATAAAATACAAATGAAAATAAAGATAGGAAAACGGGAAAGGGAAGTTTTCTTGGCAAAGTTTTTCAGAAATGATTTGCCATTGCTACTTTCCTGAAAGAGTGACTGGCTAAAAGTCACTCAGCTGGCTTCATACCTAAATCAGGATTAGAACTCATGATCTCTATGTTTCTAGCCTGATGCCTTAACCACTACACCAAACTGGTTCTAATAGAGGACTCTCCTTAAAATTTGATCTGTGTATTAGACAAATGTGCCTGGTAACATACATTATATAGATATGTTAATCATAGTGAAGAAACAATATTTATTTGATGAAACATCTACTCCAATTTTCCATTAATAGGAATATTATTTTCAATTCCAAATTGTAACAATTTGATTGTAAGTAGGACCAAGTCAAAATGCTACATTTCACTTTCCAATTTGTAGTGAAATAATATGCATGATTGGAAACAAAATCTTACCATCTACTGTCAGAACTCCTTTTAACAATAAGCAATAGAATTTCCTACTAATTTATAAACCTGAGGTACCTCTTGGATCTGAAAGAGAGCAAAACTTAATACTATCATAAAAATACAGGAGCCACTTTTGATTGTGTTTAAGAAGGTAAAAGTAAAGATTTTCCCTGTCCAGTCATGTCTGATTCTAGAGGACAGTGCTCTCCTCTTGTATTTACCAGCCTCTATTATTGAATGGCATACTATCTCTGATCCTAGGATATATAGCCATTATAACTTGTAATGATTAATAGTCTTATCCTTCATTAATTTCATAATCCCTTTTAAAGTCCTCCAAGTTGACAGCCACCAGTAGTATATCCTCTTCTGACTGCTCTGCTGTGCTTCCTCTTTTCCTCTGATTGCTTGTAAATTCTTCTTTCTTAAATGATTCTTTTCTTTCCCCTGACATATCTTGGTAATGAGGGCAAATAAACACTTGGGCTTTAAACAGCAGAATGTATAAACCTAGCTTTCATAAGCAAGCAGTATTTATGTCTCAACTACAATAAACAATTAAAAGGGGAGATTGTTGTTGGAATATGTAGCAATATACCCCCTTTAAATACCTTTTGTCACCACAAACCATGACCACGGACCACCAAGACTTGTCTCAAGATTTAAATCAACATTTCTTCAAGCCTTTGCGGACCCCCTGTGACAAATATTGCAGACCCCCAGGGGTCTGTGGAGCACAGGTTGAGAACCACTGCTCTAGATTATTTATGCATTTCTCCAGTGGCATATAGGAGAAATACTGCTTCGATAGATCTTTCTACAGATACTTGATTTCTTTATCTTTTCTTCTTTTTTCCTAAATTCACTGGGTCTTTTCTTTCCAGCTTTGAATTAACTTTTTCCCAGATGTGGCAAAAGATCTCTTTTTCTGGTTGTCTTAAACAAATTTCCCTACACTTTTCCTACTCAAAAGCTAATCCTCCCTCCCTTTTCTCTCAACTTTCTCAAGCTGCCCTGAGTTTTGACTTTTTCAGGGTCATAGCCAGCCTCTAAACCAGCGGTTCTCAACCTGTGGGTCACGACCCTTTTGGGGGGTCACACGAGCCTTTCACAGGAGTCACCTAAGACCATCAGAAAACACATATTTACAATGGTCTTAGGCAGGGCTTGTTAACCGCCTTCTCTCCCTCCCCCCCTCCGCTCTACCTCATTTGTTTGTGGAAAAATATGCTGCTTGGCGGCAGTCAGCACGAAGTCTACCAAATGTGCCCTGCAGGGGGCGCATGAAGAGCGCAGGCACAGAGCAAGGCTCTGCCCTCCCCAGAGACTCATTGTGCAGCAACCGGATTGACTTCTTCTCGTGCACGCAGGTCAGCGAAGGGGAGGCCACCGCAGCACCCACTCCTGCGCCCGTCAGCTGGCAACCCCTGAACTTGCGCCAGCTGACGCAAGAGGGAGGGAAGGAGGAAGGGACTCTTCCTCCTCTCCATGCTTCAAAGCATGATCAGCTTCCCAAGGGTGCCACAATCCTCATGAAAGTGGGGGAGGAGGGAGAAGCAAAGGGGGCGAGAAAGCTTGCGGCAGGCTCGAAGCAGCACCTGCCAGCGTTGGTGATGATAAATTCCCCACAAACCCAGGGAAGGGGTGGAGAAAAGGAGCCCCCATTGGGAGGAAACCGCCACCTTCTTCTCCTTGGCTTTACGCTCTTCTGTTTCTCGGCAGCCAGGCTGGCAAGCCTCTCCTGGCTGGAACTTCCTTTCCTTCCCTCCCTCTTGGTCTCTTCCTTCTTCCCTCCCTCTCCCATTGTTCCTTCCTTCCTTCCTTCCCTTCACCTCCCTCTTTGTCCCTTCTTCCCTCCCTCTCCCCCTTGTCCCTTCCTTCCTTTCGCCTCCCTCTTTGTCCCTTCTTCCCTCCCTCTCCCCCTTGTCCCTTCCGTCTTTCCTTCCTTCCCTCTTGTCCAGGATCGGGGCGAGCCTCTACAGCTGATCCGCACTTCTGCAGCTGTAGCTGCTCTTCTTGGCTCCTGCCCAGCAAACTTGCTTGCTAGAAAACATGCGCTTGCTAATTTAGCAGAAGCGCGAATCAGCTGTAGCCCGGCGCTGATCCTGGAGCTTCTGCTAACTTAGCAAGCAGCATGCCTTTCGGCAAAGCTGAGCAAGTGAGCTGGGCGAGCTCTCCTCTGTCTCTGCCTGTGCACAGGCAGGTTTGCCGGCAGTAAAGCCCCCAGCCACGCTGGCAACCTATCCCCCTCTCCTTGTCCCTTCCTGGGCACGGAGGGGGGGGAGGAAGGAAGGGACAAAGAGGGAGGGAAGTAAGGAACAATGAGAGAGGGAAGGAAGGAAGGAACAATGGAAGGGAGGGAAGGGAGGAAGGGACAAAGAGGAAAGGAAGGAAGGAAGGAAGGAAGGGACAAGGGGAGAGAGGGAGGGAAGGAGGAAGAGACTAAGAGGGAGAGGAAGGAAAAGAAGGAAGGAAGGAACAATGGGAGAGAGGGAGGGAAGGAGGGAAGGAGGAAGAGACTAAGAAGGAGGTGAAGGAAAGGAAGGAAAGAAGGAAGGAAAGGACAATGGGAGAGAGGAAGGGAAGGAGGAAGAGACTAAGCAGGAGGTAAAGGAAAGGAAGGAAGGAAGGAAGGAAGGGACAAGGGGAGAGAAGGGAGGGAAGGATGACCCAGAGACCCACAGATTTCCCCCCACAGGCACACTGCAACCTGAGTGATCAGCT